TCACTGCCCAGATTCCTTGCTCTTGAGGTGGCATAACTTTGAGGTGGGCATTCTATACTTGTTGCTAGAGTTTCCCAGTAGGATCAAGACTTTGCTTCCTAACATTGGTAACTCATTTAAGAACTTTGCAATTATTGACTGTCTTCACTTCACTGTCTTGCTTCCCTATTTCTCTACTTGTCTTTCTGGTGATACTTTCCAAATAAATTACTTACACTCAAGTCCTTATTTCAGTGTCTACTTAACTGGGAACTCAAACTAAAACACAGCCATGAAGTTGCAGAGTCAGGATTTTATTAAGTGGATATAGCTAAAGGGCCTGTATTAGTCCGTTCTCACACTGCTAATAAAGACATACCCAAGACTGAGTAATTTATAAACGAAAGAGATTTCATTGACTCACAGTTCCACATGGCTGGGGAGGCTTCACAATCATGGCAGAAGGTGAACAATGAGCAAAGTCATGTCTTACATGGTGCAGGCAAGAGAACTTGTGCAATAGAACTCCCATTTATAAGTCCATCAGGTCTCCTGAGAGTTATTCATTACCACGAGAACAGTATGGGAGAAACTGCCCCTATGATTCAATTATCTCCACCTGGCCCTGCCCTTGACAGGTGAGGATTATTACAATTCAAGGTGAGGTTTGAGTGGAGACACAGCTGAACCACATCAGGGTTTAATGCTCTTAACCAATACACCTGCCTCTTTAGAAGCAAATGGATGAGTACCCTATTCTGTTTTTCAGGAAATTATATCTTTGTAAAAACTGCAATCCTGGCTTTGAAAGGCTACAACTTTAATCTTTTGAGTCCTCAACATTTTATGAACAAGATCTGGCTATGAAATGAACAGACACTTCCCAAAAGAAGACGTACATGAAGCCAACAAACACATAAAAAAAAAAAGCTCAACATCACTGATCATCACAGAAATGCAAATCAAAACTACAATGAGATATCATCTCACACCAGTCAGAATGGCTATTATTAAAAAGTCAAAAAATAGCAGATGCTGGCAAGATTGTGGAGAAAAAAAGGAATGCTTTTACACTGTTGGTGAGAGTATAAATTAGTTCAATCATTATGGAATACAGTGTGTCAATTCCTCAAAGACCTAAAGACAGAAATACCATTCGACCCAGCAATCTCATTACTGGGGATATACCCAAAGGAATATAAATCAATCTATTTTAAGGACACATGCACAGATATGTTCATTGCTGCATTATTCACAACAGTAAAGACATGGAATCAACCTAAATGCCCATCAATGATAGACTGGATAAAGAAAACGTGGGACATATACACCATGGAATATCATGTCCTTTGTAGGGACATGGATGGAGCTGGAGGCCATTATCCTTAGCAAACTAACCCAGGAACAGAAAAGCAAATATTTCATGTTCTCATTTATAGGTGGGAGCTAAATAATGAGAATGCACGGACACATGGTGGGGAAACAACATACAATGGGGACTGTGAGAAGGCAGGGGATGGGAGGTGGAAGAGGATTAGGAAGAATGGCTACAGGATGCTGTGCTTAATAATTGTGTGATAAAATGATCTGTGCAGCAAACCACCATGGCACACATTTACCTATGTAAAAAATCTGCACATCCTGCACATGTACCTTGAACTTAAAATAAAATATACAAATAAAATAAATTTAAAAAGGAAAGCTGCACACCCTCCTAGGAAAATATACCTCTCCAAATATTCACTCAGTTATGGACATGGAGCACAATGTTCAAAAGACTCACCTCTACCCTCCTTGGTGGAGCTAGAGCAATAGGAACAAAAGACAAAAAAAAAAAAATACTCCCAAGAGAACATAACCAGAATCGAGTCAAGTAATTCCACTCTTTGACTGATCAAAAATCTTTTCAGAATATCTGACTGGCAGGATTTTATTATTTTTATGGCTGACTACTGTGTGTTTTCTATTCCTCTTTCTTGAAAGGTGATTTTTATCATGGCCTTTCTGTCCTTGTTTCACAATTGTATGTCGCTTCTATATGTGTGTGTGTGGTGGTGATGAGGAGGGACAGATTACCTGCCAATTACTTCATGAATTCCTAGTCATTAAGAGTCATATAGTTTTTTTCTTTTTCTTTTTTGAGATGGAGTCTTGCTCTGTTACCCAGGCTAGAGTGCAGTGGCATGATCTCAGCTCACTGCAACCTCCACCTCCCAGGTTCAAGCGATTCTCCTGCCTCAGCTTCCCAAGTAGCTGGGGCTACAGGCGTGCACCACCATGCCTAGCTAATTTTTGTATTTTTACTAGAGATGGGGTTTTGCCATGTTGGCCAGACTGGTCTCGAACTCCTGACTTCAGATAATCTGCCTGACTTGGCCTCCCAAAGTGCTGGGATTACAGGCATGAGCCACTGCGCCGATCTTCACGAGTCATATCTTGATTAGACAGAAAGGAATGCATGTAATCAGGGTATCTTTGCTTGTTTTGAGACAGAGTGTTGCTCTATTGCTCAGGCTGGGGTGGGTGGCACAACAATGGCTCACTGCAACCTCAAACTCCTGGGCTTGAGCGATTTTCCCACCTCAGCCTCCTGAGTAGCTGGGACTACAGGTGGGTTCTATTACAAATAAGTAGTTTTCTTTCTTTCTTTCTTTCTTTTTTTAAGACACAGAGTCCAGGCTGGTCTCAAAATCCTGGCCTCCAGTGATCCTCCTGTGTCAGCCTCCCAAAGCTCTGGGATTACAGGCGTGAACCACTACACCCAGCCTCATCAGAATATCTTTGAGTTTAGCATGAATATAACGAGGGAGAGTATTTGTTGCAGGTATTTGTTGGCTAAAAGAATAGACTCTCAGAAGACAGCTTACTGTCTATCCAAATTCCATGTTTTCTTTTCATTGCATGGAATTCAAGTAAGATGTGGCTATCCAATCAGAGACTATGTTATCCAGTTCCCAATGCATCCAGGTTAGCCAAATGATGAGTTATTGCCAATAAAATCTGAACAGAAGTGATACGTGTAGTTTTGGCCTAGAAATTTAAGAAGAAAATGTGCTTTTTGATAGCTTTAATTTTTTGGAATTAGAAAATTCTGAGGCCTGAAGGGAGGGTTGAGCCAAAAACTAGAAGGAGCCTGGATTCCTTAACACGTGGAAGAAAGGTAAGCAAGAAAAACTGTATTTACTATTGTGTAAAACTATTACACAAGACAGAAATGCATTTCTGGCCCGGCATGATGGATCATGCCTGTAATCCCAGCACTTTGGGAGGCCAAGGTGGGCGGATCACGAGGTCAAGAGATCGAGACCATCTGGCCAACATGGTGAAACCCCCTCTACTAAAATACAAAAATTAGTTGGGCGTGGTGGCGCATGCCTGTAGTCCCAGCTACTCAGGAGGCTGAGGATCTCTTGAATCCGAGAGGTGGAGGTTGCAGTGAGCCGAGATCGCGCCACTGCTCTCCAGCCTGGCAACAGAGTGAGACTCCATCTAAAAAACAGAAAAACAAAAACAAAAACAAAAATGCGTTTCTATTTTACTAAGTGTGATGGTTAGTGCTGAGTGTCAATTTGATTGGATCGAAGGATGCAAAGTATTGATCCTGGGTGTGTCTGTGAAGGTGGTGGCAAAGGAGATTAACATTTGAGTCAGTGGGAAAGGCAGAACCACCCTTAATCTGGGTGGGTACCATCTAAATCAGCTGCCAGAGAATATAAAGCAGGCAGAAAAACATGAAAAGGTAGACTGGCTAGGCCTCCCAGACCACATCTTTCTCCAGTGCTGGATGCTTCCTGCCCTCGAACATCAGAATTCAAGTTTTCAGGTTTGAGACTCGGACTGGCTTCCTTGCTCCTCAGCTTGCAGACGGCCTATTGTGGAACCTCATGATTGTGTGAGTTTAATACTCCTTAATAAACTATGAGGTATATATATGTGTGAGTGTGTGTATATATATATATATACATATATATATATATATATATATATATATATATTTGTCCTATTAGTTCTGTCCCTCTAGAGAGCCCTGACTAATACACTAAGCCACTAATATTTTAGCACTTGTTAGTTACAGCCCCTAGGATTACTCTAATACAAAAATCATCACACAGTTGACTATTTGGTAAAGGTCGGTGCCTAAATGTCATCTCCTTATAGAAGCCTTCACCAAAAATCTCAACTTATTTTATATCTTCTGTCTCACTCTAACTCAGTACCTCTTTTATTAGTAACTCAAGACTTTCTATTACCTGCTTTTCAAATAAGCTTTTTGGGTATATCTATATATAGCCTCTCTCTACCACCACTAGCATATAAGCTCTATGTTGGCTGGAACTTTTTCCAATGGACTTACTGTTGTAGTCCCCAGTACCCAGAATAGTTTATGAAACATAGGATGTGTTCAATAAATATTGCTTGAGAGAATAATTACTTATAATCCTTTGTCTCTATATTCCAGATATACTCCCAAAGAAAATTGAGTTGGGTACTATTTGTGTTAAAAAATATTATTTCTGCTTTCCTTTCCATACCTGCATTGTCCATTTGTTTTCTTATTTTCTTTCCAAGCCCCGTTCCCTCAACATCTGCATTATGCAGGTATTGGTGAAAATCAACTTTGATAATCACTAGCAGTACTCCATTAGTCACGGGAAATCTGAGAACCATTGAAGTGAAGATTTACTGTATCACGTCTACAAATCACTGAGCACTTTATATGCACTATTTTATTTCAGTACGTCCTACTGTGTATGTGCAATGTAGGTATAAATACCTCCATTTACAAATAACAAAAAATGAGGTTCAGCGTTTATGTACCATGCATAAGTTTACACAGATAGGAAACATTAGAGTGGGATTCAAGTCAAGTTCTGGATGCAAAACCGCTGCTCTAAAAGCACATCATGCTTTTCCGCCCGCTCGCCGGTTCCACTGAATGCTGCTCTGGCTGCACCGTGCTCCCTTGGAGCTTCCGGCTCCTGCTAAGCTAGTGCTGCCATAGTCTCCCTTCAGCCACCATCATGATTATCTACCATGACCTCATCAGCCACGATGAGATATTCTCCTACGTCTACAAGATCCGTGAGATTGCGGACGGGCAGTGCTGGGAGGTGGTGGGGAAAATGGTCAGTAGGATAGAAGGTATCATTGATGACTCGCTCATTGGTGGGAATGTCTCTGCTGAAGGCCCCAAGGGCGAAGGTACCAAAAGCACAGTAATCACTGCTGTCGATATTGTCATGAACCATCACCTGCAGGAAACAAGTTTCATAAAAGAAGCCTACAAGAAGTACAACAAAGATTATAAGAAATCAATCAAAGGCAAACTTGAAGAACAGAGACCAGAAAGAGTAAAACTTTTTATGACAGGGGCTGCAGAACAAATCAAGCACATCCCTGTTAATTTAAAAAACTACGAGTTCTGTATTGGTGAAAACATGAATTCAGATGGCATGGTTGCTCTACTGGACTACCGTGAGGATGGTGTGACCCCACATATGATTTTCTTTAGGGATGGTTTGGAAATGGAAAAATGTTAACAAATTTGGCAATTAGTTTGGATCTATCACCTGTCATAATAACTGGCTTCTAATTGTCATCCACACAACACCAGGACTTAAGACAAATGGGACTGATGCCATCTTGAGCTCTTCATTTATTTTGACCATAATTCATTCAGAGTGGAGGCATTGTTTTTAAGAAAAACATGTTGGCTGGGGAGAGTGACTCACACCTGTAATCCCAACACTTTGGGAGATCGAGGCAGGTGGATCACAAGGTCAAGAGATGGAGACCATCCTGGCCAACATGGTGAAACTGCATCTCTACTAAAAATACGAAAATTAGTGCAAATCTGTAGTCCCAGCTACTCGGGAGGCTGAGGCAGGAGAATTGCTTGAACCCAGGAGGCAAAGGTTTCAGTGAGCCGAGATAGAACTCCAGCCTGGCGACAGAGGGAGACTCGTCTCAAAAAAGAAGAAAGAAAAACAAGTCACGTAGGTTGTCTAAAAGTAAAATGCATTTTAACCCAGTTGAGAGAATGCCTTTTAGTTTAATACATATTTAAACTAAATTCATTCTATAGTGTTCCTGGAGAAGCTAGTGCCTGGTTGTAAGCTACTACTAGAAAGAATAAGACTCATCAATTAACTTCTACAGTGGAAACTACTTCTGGGACTGGAATATACAAAAGAATCAAAGGTTTTGATTGTGAGTTGCAATAAAGGGAAAGACCATGTTCATAGCAGTGCCAACATCTGAAGTGGAGCTTTACACATTTCATCACCGACAATGGAATTAGTTAACTGGAAGAGATTACCAAGAGAATAAAAGGAGACTAATTCAGTTGGAAAGAAAAAAAAAAAAAGCACATCATATATTACCTAAAATAATGTTTGCATTCTGGCTCCCAGTCTTATGTTCCAGCTTACACTGTCTTGTATTATCTATTTTTGTGCTACAAAATATTTTTTGCTTTTTAACTGAAGTATTTTCAATGTAATTTAGATATAATTTTTCCATAGAGAAATGCACAAATCATAAATGTTTTACTAGCATAATCCACACTCTTATCAAAGTGTAAAACATTCCCATCTCTCCATAAATTTCCTTTATGTCATTTCCCATTAATTATGCCTCCCACTATTGCTGAGGCAACCAAAGCTCTGATTGCCTATTCTAGTGCTTCATATAAATAAAAGCATACAAAAGATATTCTTATGTGACTGGTTTTATTTTCACTCAACATATGTTTAGAGGTTTCCTCATGTTGTTGCATGAGGATTTTCTGTTTGTTTGTTTGTGGGTTTTTTAATATACTGATTTGTATTCCCTCATATAAATATATCACAATTTATGTATCCATTCTGTTGTCAAGGAACATATAGATGCCTCACAGTTATGAATAAAACCATTATGAACATTTGTGTTCAAGTCTGTTTGTGGATATATGTTTTTCTTTCTCTTGGGTAAATGCCCAGAAGTATGTATTAGTTTTCTAGGGTTGCTATAACAAATTACTACACACTTCATAGCTTAAAACAATGGAAATTTATTCTTTCTCAGTGGCCAGAAGTCTGAGATCACTTGTTGGCAGAGCAAGTTTCCTTTGAAGTTTCTGGGGAAGAACCCTTCCTTGCCTTTTCACAGCTTGTGGGAGCTCCCATCAATCCTTGACATTTCTTGGATTGTGCTCTACCACTCCAATGCTGGCTTCCATCTTCAAGTGGCCTTCTTTTCGATGTCTTTATTTCCAAATCTTACCTTTCCTTTCCCTCATAAAGACACCAATCAATGAATTTAGAGCCAATTCTAAACCCAGAGTCCTTTCATTTAAAGATCTTTAACTAAAAACATCTGCAAATATTCTATTTTTAAATTAGGTAGCAGTCTGAGGTTCCAGATGAACATAAATTTGGGGGGAAACACTGCTGACTATAGTAAAATTGGTGCACATAGGTTACATGTCTGTTTTTTTCTGTTTCTTTGTTTTGTTTTGAGACAGAGTCTTACTCCATCCTCCAGGCTGAAGTGCAGTGGCACGATCTCAGCTCACTGTAACCTGCACCTCCTGAGTTCAAGCAATTCTTGTGCCTCAGCCTCCCAAGTAGCTGGAATTACAGGTGTGCCATCATGCCCAGCTAATTTTTGTATTTTTAGTAGAGACAGGGTTTTACCATGTTGGCCAGGCTGGTCTCGAACTCCAGACCTCAAGTGTTCTGCCTGCCTTGGCCTTGGCCTCCCAAAATGCTGGGATAACAGGTGTGAGCCACCACACCCAGCCTAAATCGTTTTCTAACGTATTCGTAACGTATGATTTTATTCCCAAAAGCATACATGAGAGTCAAGTTATTCCACCTTTTGTATTTGATGTTGTCTTAAAGTTTTAAAATAATAACAGTGAATGGCAGTGGCATCTCATTGTAGTTTCAATTCTTGGCAGTTTGTGGTCTGTCTATTCATTTTCTTAGTAGTTTCTTGAGAAACGGAATTTTTAAATTTCAATGAAGTCTATACTTTTGTTTTCTTTTATAGTTTGTGTGTTCTGTGTTCTGCCTAAAATTGTTCATTCCAAGTGTATTAGTTATCTATTACTATGTGACTGCACCAAAGCTTATCATCTTTAAAAAGCCATATTTATTATCCCACAGTTTACATTTATTAAAATGAATTTATTATAACTAACAGGAAGTATTTATTATACAAATTTTCTTAGGGTCAAAGACCCTTAGCACAGCTCAATTCTTGTTGTTGCTGTTGTTGTTTAACAAGGCTGCCTTCCAGTGGTCTGATGGGGCTGCCATCATTTCAAGGGTCAGCTAAGGAAGGATTCACATCCAAGCTCAGGCATGTGGATATTAGCAGGACTCAGCTCCTCATGGTCTGGTGGACTGAGGGCCTCAGTCTGTGGCCTCTCTATGTGACACCTCAAAACATAGCTGCTTGTTTCAGCAGATGTCACAAGCAAGACAAGTGAAACAGAATATTATACTCCTTTGTAATCTAATCTTGGATGTGGTAGTATTCTATTTATTCAAAGTCAGTCACTTGATTCAATCCACTCTCAAGAACAGGTAACCTAAGGTTATGAATACCAGAAGATGGGAATTATTGGGAGCCATTTTAGAAGATGGCTTTCACATAAAATTTTAAAAGATGATCTCCTATTTGTTTTTCTGCTACTTCCTATATAGTTTTATATTTTACATGTAGGTCCATGATGCCATGAAGTATTGTTTGCATATTATGTGAGGTAGCTATCAAAATTTATTTTACCCATATGCATGTCCAGTTACTCTCATGCAATTTGTTAAAAATATTTTTCCCATTGAATTGTTTGGTAACTTAGTCAAAGCTCTTGGTCTACAAATATAAATTTAGATATATTTCTGGAATGTATTGCTTTCCAATATCAAGCTGCATTGATTAATGGAGTTTTATAGTAAGACACAAAAACAGTTTGAGTCTCCCAAGATAGTTCTTTTCCAAAATTGTCTTGGATAGCCTAAGTGATTTGAATTTCCATATATTTTTAAATTAAGTTGTTAATGTCAACAAAAACATACACTGATATTTTTATTAAAATTGTCTTAAATCTATAGACAATTCCAAGAGAACTGCTGTATTTAAAATATTGAACCTTCCAGTAGTATACGTAGTATATCTCTTCATTTATGTGGTCTTACTTGATTTCTGTCATCATTTTTTTTTAATTTTTGTGTAAAGCATTTTTAATTATATTTATTTCAATTTTTATGGTTTTTAATGCTATTGTAAATGGTATTTCTAATATTTTCCAATTGTTCATTGAGCTGCATCTCATTATATAATGTTTCAGTGGTTGTTCTAAGAGTGATGATATGCCTCTTTAAGTTATCCCAATATTTTATCCAAAATAATTCAATATATTTAGAGTTAATAATGAATTATTTTGGATAAAATAAAGAAGACTGTAAACAATATGCATCCATGCCTAACCCCAATGCTTATAACTATCATCACATATATTAAATTTTAAAACTTCATAAAAACAAAAAAGTTATAGTTTACTTTAAATAGTAAGGCATTTTTCTTCCATAAATTTATAGAAGAACTCTATGTATGTGTATATTTGTATGTGTTTATATTTATTTTCATATTTACTATTTCTACTGCTTTTCATTTCCTCCTGTACATCTGAGTTGCTATCTGTTAACATTTCCCTTCAGACATAAGGTTTTTCTTTAATTTGCAGTAGGGAATATCTGCCGACAGCTGGTCATGTCAGTTTTGTTTATTTGAAAATACTTTATTTTACCTTGCTTTTTAAAGGATAGTTTTTATGTATGTAAATTTTTGACTCCTTATTTCATTGCTTTAAATGTGTTATTCCAATGTTCTCTGATCTTTATAATTATTAATATTGGCTATTAATCATAGTGTTGTTCCTTATAAGGAATATATATTTTTTCAGATTATTCCAGGTTTTCTCTTTATCTTCAGACTTTAGTGTTTTGGCTTTGACTTGATGCAAAGGTGTTTTCTTAGAGTTTATCCTATTTGATGTTTGTCGAGCTTCTTGAACTTGCATGTTAATGTTTTTCAAACACAACTGGAATATATTTATCTATTATTTCTACTAAGATTTTTCTTTAATATTTTCTCCACTTGACCCCACAATCCTATTACTGAGCATATGCCCAAAGGAATATAAATCTCTCTATTATAAAGACACACGCAAACGTATGTTTAGTGCAGCACTATTCACAATAGCAAAGACATGAAATCTTTGACCATCAATGATAGACTGGATAAAAGAAAATGTAGTACATATACACCATGGAATACTATGCAGCCATAAAAAAAAATGAGATTATGTCCTTTCCAGGGATATAGATGGAGCTGGAGGCCATTATCCTTAGCAAACTAACACAGAAACAGAACACTACCACATGTTCTCACTGCTAAGTGGGAGCTAAACGATGAGAACATATGGATATATAGAGGAGAGCAACAGACACTGGGGCCTTTCGGAGGCTGAAAGGTGAGTTTAGGGAGAGGATCAGGAAAAATAACTAATGGGTAC